CACACTTTCAAGCAGGAGGGGGTCACACCATCTGGGCCTGGTGCCTTTCTGATGTTTTGTCTTTTAAAGAGGCCACGCACATCCTTTTCACAGATCGTTAGAGGTGGGGGGGCTGGAGGGAAGGGTGGTGATTGTCGGGGGAGCAGCTGCTGGATCTGTGGTGGGAGGGTGAGGTGGGAGTGTTATTTGTCGAACCTGCAGTAGAACACATTCAGGTTGTCTGCTAGTTGACGGTCCTCCTCAGCGGGGGGGATGGTTTCCTATAACCAGTGATGGTTTTTAGGCTCCCCCACACAGACGAGGTGTCGTTGGCTGAAACCTGAGCTTTCAGCTTTCCAGAGTAGCTCCTCTTTGCTGCTCTGATCTCCCTTGTCAGTGTGTTCCTGGCCTGGCTGTACAGAGTCCTGTCCCCACTTCTGTAAGCCTCCTATTTGGCACGACGAAGCTGCTTGAGTCTTGCTGTAAACCAGGGCTTGTTGTTGTTATAGTTGTATGTGCAGAAGGTCTTTTTGGGCACACACACCTCCTCACAGAAGCTGATATAAGATGTGACAGTGAGTTCATCAAGGTCTGTAGCTGTAGTCTCAAATACACTCCAGTCTGTGCAGTCAAAGCAGGCCTGTAGCTCTGAATTAGCCTCCTCAGTCCAGCTCTTCACTGTTTTGACTACAGGCTTCACAGCTTTTAGTTTCTGCCTGTAGGTTGGAATAAGATGGACCATACCGTGATCTGAGAGTCTGAGGGCTGCACGAGGGACAGAGTGATAGGTGTCTTTTATTGTTGTGTAGCAGTGGTCCAGCGTGACTTTGTCCCTGGTGGGACAGGTGACGTGCTGCCTGTATTTGGGCAGTTTGTGGGTGAGATTTGCTCTGTTAAAGTCCCCTAGAACAATGAGTGAAGAGTCAGGATGTTCTAGTTCCAGGCTAGTTATCTGTTCTGCCAGGAGCTGAAGTGAGCTAGCGTTAGCCTGCAGTGTTATGTACACTCCCATTAGAATTAAAGAGTTAATTTCATGGGGAGAATAAAAAGGTTTGCAGTTGATAACAAGAGCCGCTAGGTCTGTGGTACATGTCCTCTGTAGCACTGTGACATCTGTGCACCAACCTTCATTTATGTAGAGACAGATTCCACCTCTTCTTGTTTTCCCGGACAGCTCCGTTATGCAATCCGCTTTGTACACCTGGAAGCCCGGTACCTGTATTGCACCGTCTGTGATTGAGTCGCTGAGCCAGGTCTCCGTGAAGCACAAAGCAGCAGAGCGTGCAAAGTAAGAGTTAGTCCTGTTGATGAGAAGAATTTCATCCATCTTGTTAACCAGGGAGCGGAGATTAGCCAGGTGAATAGACAGGAGTGGAATCCGGGTCCCTCTCTGGCATAGCCTCACCAAGGCGCCTGCACGCTTGCCACGGCAGCATTTTTCCCAGGTCCCGTATATCGCTGCTGTGCCTCCGATCAGAATGTCCATACAGCATTCATCGTTCACAAAAATCGGAGAAAGGTAGTTCGGTGTGAGTTGTCCGATATTTAACAGTTCTTCTCTGGTAAAAGTAATCCGGGATGGGTTGCAAAAGACAGAGAAAACAAAGAAAAACCACAAACACAAGAGAGTGCAAGTAACCAAGGCTGCCACCGCTGTCGGTACCATCTTGATTTTGCAATTAATCAATAATTAACTATATGCAAAAGAAAAATTCAGTGGAGTCAATTATCACAAACCTAACAGACACCACAAGTTCAGCTGACACGGAGAGGGTTAAAAGCAGCCCAAGGACTTCGATTTAATTCAGATGTCGCGTTATTCCTTCTGGGTGTGTTAGCATCTAAAGCTAATGTGGTTGTTTTTGTTACATTAGCCTCCTGGCATGGTCATTATTTTACCTTTGTGTTGAATTAATATGATTGTAATTTGGGCATAAGTAGAGCTTGGTGTAACATCGACCTTTGTGTTACATAAGCAGTAACCAGAGCGTTCTACTTAATTTTGCATTAAGTGAAATAAATGAAGAGCCAACAAAGGTACATTTGCATTTTTGTTTTGGATTGTAGACTAGTGGCGCAAAATTTACATCACAGTTGATGCAGATCGACGTTGAGTCTCGACTCTGGTACGGATTCCCGCCCTGCTGCTTGGAATTGTCTGTGAATTCCCACAAGTTCTACTGAAACAAGTTGACCGCATCCTGATGCTGAGCCAAACCTCGGATGTTGTGCAACCTTTGCTATAGTTTCATTGTCCTGTTTCTGACTCTCTTTATGGTTGCTCATTCTTATATTTTCTACCTGTTTTGGTGCTACAGGTGTCAGCCATGTAACCCCACTGAGTGCTGTAGGCTAACAGGACGAGGGCGGACGCAAATGTAGAACACACTCATTTGTCAGTTTATTGTCCTTATCATGGTGCTTTCTTTCATAATAAATATGACTAAATCTATAGCTCCCTGCTTGTCCTACTGGTCTGATAGTTCTCACACAGCCCTGAGGTCAGCACTACTGCACCTGTCCTCTACTTCTACCTGAGCAGCACACTCAGTCACCTTGGCAGTCTGAGCGTAGTACAGAGTCCTGCCTCTCAGTTTGAAGTATCGTCTCTTCCAGCGCTGGAATGAGTTGGTTTGTTTCATCAGGTTTCCCTCCTTCAGCACAGTCTGAAACACAAGAGGATTTAAAGAAGACATCAGCCACAGCAGCTTCATTCAAATGGACCTGACAGAAGCAGTCATTCATGTTTTTTTCTCTTTATTGAGGTTTTATGGCTCATGTTTTTGCACTCAACAGTGAAACTGTGTGCGTTGTTATTTACTAGGGAGTCTCAGTGGAGTTTTGTGCCAGAAAAACAGAAGAAAGGTGATATCACTGTAAGTTGTCCGGTCTGGTACAACATGTACTTTAAGGTGTTCCTGTTCAGGGAGGCAAAATAAGGGAGGAGATCATGGAAATGTATACAAATCCTCTCAGCACCTGATTCACCACTACGAAGCACTGCAGCAGAAGGAAGTGCAGCTGATATTTAAGGTCAGGAATCAGCAGGTGTAAAATGTGCAGCCCTGCTGTCAGTGTGGCAGCTGTTACTCAACTGAGATGTGGTTGGTGTTCAGAACACGAGGAGGGCATTTGCGAGTCATGTCTCTCTTCGGGAGGTTAGAGGAGCATGTGAGGGACTGTTACAAGTCAAACCTTTCTTCGGGTACTGAACCAAACGAAAGACAATTTGGCTGCAGAAGACATGTGCCTGCAGTTCAGAAATATGCGTGTTGGTTTCTCCAACCAGTATTAAAGTTCGGTCACAGAAAACTTACACCCTCTAGGTCAGAGGTGTCAAACTCATTTTCACCGCGGGCCACATTAGCATAATGGTTGCCCTGAAAGGGCCAGATTCTTCTTCTCCTTTCCGCTGTCCCCATTAGGGGTCGCCACAGTGAATCATCTGTTTCCACCTAACTCTATCCTCAGCATCCTCTACTCTCACCCCAATTAACTTCATGTCCTCTTTTAGCACATCCATATATCTCCTCTTTGGCCTTCCTCTTGACCTCTTGCCTGGCAGCTCCATCTCCAACATCCTTCTACCAATATAACTGCTATCCCTCCTCTGCACATGTCCAAACCATCTCAATCTGGCCTCTCTGACCTTGTCCCAAAAAACAGCCGACCTGAGCTGTCCCTCTGATGTGCTCATTCCTAATCCTGTCCATCCTGGTCACTCCTAAAGAGAACCTCAACATC